GCCTCCCCCCTCCCCTCCCCTCCCCCAGGGCCCCATCCTGCACCACTGCTGGCAGTGGGAGCACTGCGTCCACAAGCACAGTGGGCAAACAGTGCTCTCCCATGAGCAGGGCCTGTGGCCTCTCCCCCAGTCTATGTTAAGTCTGGAGGCTGGGCAAGGATGCAGCAGAACACCACTGTGCACAACAGAAGTTACAGCACAGAAGCGCTGCCCTGGCCTCAAGCCCCATTTGAAGCATTCAGGAACCAGGAATCAAGGGCCAAGTCCAAGGGGCGCTGCCTGGGGCAGGAGCTTTACACCCTGGCTAGTAGACCTCAGAGCCGCTCAGCAGCCTGCCTGCAATTGAAATTTTTAGTAGACCCCAGGCCGCCACTGCTCAGTGACAGGAGATTGACGCTCAGCCCAGTGCTGCGCTCACCAGAGAGGAAGAAGACAACCACAACTGAGTTAATGATGGAGAACCAGTGGATCTGCACGTCGCTCATGGTCAGGTAGGTGTCCCAGCGGGAAGCCCATTTAATGTCGCTCTCCTAAAAGAACAGAGAGGCACATTCAGAAGCCACCACCCCTTTCTTGCTTGTTGTAACAGCCCCTGGAAGGGCTCTTGCAGGGCCTCTGCTGCATGGACACCCCGTCAGAGGGGACAGCCTGGAGCAGGCAGCACCCCCATCCACACACCCCTGGCCCCTGTTACTTCCTCACCTCCCAGTGGACAGAGTAGGTGAAGAGCAGCAAGTTCTTCTTGGTGGGATCTATCTCCTGAGGGGCTGAGCCTGCAGCTTCAGGCAGGGTGCACAGGCCCTTCTCATCAACCTTCAGGTCTGTAGAAGGAAGCACCACACATGTGCCAGGTTAGCATTCCCCTCACTTGTCCTTCCCAGAGCCCAAGGCATAGCCCTGAATCTATAGCCAATGCAGTGCCTGCCCTCCCTCTGCAGCCCCACCCAGGCCCCTGCTTGGTTGGAAGGATGGAATCAGACAGTTTCTTAGGACAGAGGGCTGAACAGAGCTCTCTGTGAAGCACCAAGGAACCATACTTGCAGAGCAAGGGCAGGATCATAAGCCAAGATGCACACACTCCCACCCATCTCCTGCAAAGCTGATAGTAGACACTGCAAAGATAGGTACCTGGCAATGCTGCCCATCCAGAAGTAACTTCCCAACCTCCAGGAGCTGCGGCAGCTCCGACCACGGAGCAGGATGGTTCACCCCTCACACCTAAGCTTGCCTGATGCAGTGGGCAAGGACTCCCTGGCCCATTTTACCAAGCTGCTGGTCGCCTATTCAGAATGCTTACAGCCTTGGCCTCCACAGTTTCACAGGCTAATTGTGTTTGCTGCCAGAACACATTCCCTTTGAAATGCAATTAGTGGGAAACAGAGCAGTTGTAAGGACCAAGCAAGCACTCTCATTACAGGGGGAGGAAAGGATCTCAAAGTCCCTCCTTCCTGTAGCCCTTGGAAACTCAGATGTTGCCCTCTTGCCGTCCCAAAATCCTGAGGTGCTCGCCTCCCGGCCTGGGGCAACTGCAGGGCTCACCTTCCAGCTTAATGCTCTGGGGAACCACTTCAAAGCGCACAACCCTGTAGGTGGGCTCCTGATTCTCCTCCACCTCCTCTCTGTGGTAGTAAAGGATGAAGGAGAGGTGGTTGTGCAGGTAGAACTAGAAAGGGCAGATTGACATTAGAGAAAAGTTAGTGACTGGAGGGAGGAACAGGCGATGCCCAGAGGGCAGCAACTGCCTGCAGCAGCATCTTCTCCACCAGGCTTAGGCCTCTAGCAGCTCCCGACCTGCTGGGCTACAGGGCAAGACTGTGCTCTGCCTCTCTCTCAGCTTAAAGGAAAGGCAAGAGACTGACATGTCTTGCCAGTTGTTACCTCAAGCTCTTAGTCTGACCATCAGCAATAATGTTTTTCTGCATTTCTGATTGTACAGTCAGGACCATGCCCTGGCACATGACACATTCAATAGCACTTTGCACCTCAGGGGCTGCAACAGCACCAGCTGCACCCTTGCTGCCCTGAACCCAGCCTCTCTGCGTTGTACCAGGCAGCTGTACTGCAAGAGGCCTTGCTCTCAAAGGCAAGCAGCTTCCTCTGAGCACACACAAGGAGAAAGCACAGCAGCTCTGCACAAGCCTTGAAAGCCTTCCCATCCATAAGAGCAGCAGGACCTTGGTGATCACAACTGTCCATGAGTGCGTCAAATGAACATGCAAGCAATATGTTAGGCACACTAGCGCAAGCAGCTATGGAAAGGGTTGGTGAGCAAGGCATGCAGCTGCATGCAAGTCTGCTCCAGGCAATCTTAGGCATACAGAGAGGCTGGCTGCACTGCATTATACCTTGACTGGTTTCTGCCCTTGCCCCTCTCCCTTCGACATTACACAACTTCTTCATCACATGTGTTTTTGTCCCAATTAAGCTCTTTGATTTTACTAGGATGAATTCAAGCTGCTCCTTCCTAAATGGAATCAGACCCTGTCTGCCTGGCATTAGGTCCTGAGCAATACATTACAGCAATAAATGAATATGATGTTCAACACCCCAGGGCATTTATGCAGGAAGCTCAAAGCACATGATAAACACTAGTTAGTCCTCAGCACTTCTCAGATCTACCTACTGGCAGCTCCATTTTAAAGACAGGCAAACTGAGGCACAGAGGTTGAACAGAGTCACATGGCAAACTCATGGCACCCCACCAGCTACTGACTCATTTTCCATTCTCCCAGTCTGAAGAGCCAAGCCATGCCCACCCCTTTCTGTCCCTTACACAGCTCCTCAGCAGGATTCCCAACCCTGCTGTCCCCCCAACATGACCACAGGACTCATCTTCTGCCAAGGATAACTGTGGTGTTCTCCACGCCTCTCACCAAGGCTCTGCCCAGGCTGCTTCAGACCTTTTACCTTATTTCCATCCATGAAGCCCAGCCTATATCCATGCTCAAACTGCACGTCTTTCTCCTTCTTCTTCTCCTCCTCATCCCGATTGGAGTAGAACTCCAGGCGTGTAGCCACGGGAAGGTTATCAGCAATGCTGAAAGCACACGTTTGTGAATCAAAGGGACCCAGTGCACCGAGGTTCCAAGACAGCCCCCCTGGGATCCTGGTGGGCGTCATTCTCCCCCTACCCTACACATGCATGCACAGGCAGGAGAGAAGGACTTACAGGTGGACATAGTAGTCTTCCCTGATCCGCTCTGCAATCAGCTTGGCCTGCTCCACGTCCAGGGAGACTGGCTCATTGAGGTGGTTGCAAAGAATCTCACACTTCTTCTCCGTGCTCATGAAGACCTGGAACGGTGTGTTTACAATGCGGTCCCCCCGCAGGACCTCCCCTGTGGGACAAGAGAGAGTGAGAGCCATTGTTCAGCTGCCCCTGGATTTTCTAGCATGTGGCATTTCATGACGTGATGAAAGCAGCTCTGGACAGCTGTGTCCACCCCAGTGCCATGGGGAAGCTGG